CAGGTTGAGAAACACTGGTCTAAGTGGTCTCTGACAATCAAATCTACTGTCCTACACCAACATTGCAGTGAATGAAACCCTCCCAAGAGAGCCTTTCCAAAAGGCAGCTGTTTGCTTCTTTCTCTCAAATTCCATCAAAGACTGCAGAGTCTCTCTTCTCTCTTATCATGCATGTAGACCTAAAGAACACTGTGAGTATCCCATATCCAAAACATGTGGGGAAAGAAGTTTTTGGATTTCAGATGCTTTCAGATTTTGGAATAAATATATTTGCATTTATGTGCAAAGTTTGGAACATACAATTATTATTATTATTATTATTATTATTATTATTATTGGGTTGTTGTAGGTTTTTTCGGGCTATATGGCCATGTTCTAGAGGCATTCTCTCCTGACCTTTTGCCTGCATCTATGGCAAGCATCCTCAGAGGTAGTGAGGTCTGTTGGAACTAGGAAAAAGGGTTTATATATCTATGGAATGACCAGGGTGGGACAAAGGACTCTTGTCTGCTAGAGCTAGGTGTGAATGTTTCAGCTGACCACCTTGATTAGCATTTGATGGCCTGGCTGTTGTTTGGTGTGGCTTGTTAGTGCCTGGAGCAATCTTTTGTTGAGAGGTGATTAGATGTCCCAGATTGTTTCCTCTCTGTTGTTTTGCTGTTGTAATTTTTTAATACTGGTAACCTCTAGAACATGGCCATATAGCCCGAAAAAACCTACAACAACCCAGTGATTCCGGCCATCAAAGCCTTCGACAATACATTATTATTCATTATTATTATTATTATTATTATTATTAGTAGTAGTAGTAGTAGTAGTAGTAGTATTATATACATAAAGATGATGATGATAATCTCTCCCGTAGGAGACTCAAAGAGGCTTAACATAAAAGTGGCTTAGGAGATATCTTGGAGATGGGACCCAAGTATAAACACAAAATTCATTTATGTTTCTCATAACACACACACACACACACACACACACACACACACACACAAGTAGGTAAAGGTTTTCCCCTGACATTAATTCCATTTGTGTCTGACTCTGCGGAGCGGTACTATTGATTACTCACATTTGCAGAGCTTTAATCCGTGTGTGTGTGTGTGTGTGTGTGTGTGTGTGTGTGTGTGTATATATATATATATATATATATATATATCTCAGCAGTTCTTAAAATGTACTCCACCGAGCCCTTGACATTTTAGTATAGTCAACATCACAACCAGGTTTTCTACATGGTCCAGTTCCTTGTACAAAATATGCATAATGCATCTGAAGAAAGGCTTATTTATGTTGGTAACATGTAAGGGTATAGAGATCTTTTGGTGTTTTTGTGATCACCCATTCTTCACTTCTTGGAGCTTATGAGACAAAGTATTTATTGCCTCAGAAATTATCACACCTGTGAAGTTGGTGGTGTGCATGAAATTGTGCATACCACATGCAGAGCTAAAAATGTGGTTTCTTACAATAGTTTTCACACCCTCTAATGGCTTTGCATGAAATTACAAGTTCTTTGGGAATTGTGAAAGAGACTGTAAATATAAAACTGAAACTAAGCTAGAAAAAAGGAGCCACCATGCTGTAACGACCTGAGTGTTGGACAAAGCCTCCGAAGATATGATCCATACAAAACGGTGCCCTTCTAAGGGCTGTAGTGTGAGCTTTTGAGATCTGCATCCTAGTTGGCCTAAGGATAGCACCTCCCTCTTATCAAACTGTGACTTATGTTGGTCAGAACTCTGAACAGTAGAAGAACAGCTCTTGGAAAGTTACTTTGAGGAAGAATGGATATAATAACATGTTGAAGCCATCCATAACTGAGCGACGGTAGAATAATGCTCAGAACACTCAGTTACGGATGATTTCAGCATGTTATTATCTCCGTTCTACTTCAAAGTCATTGACCAAGACCTGGAGAAGAGGCAATGTTTCTCTTCTTCTCTCTTCTTTTTTGAAAGACAGAACAGAGATCAGTCCTGGAGAGGAACCATCTGGGAAGTGGAATTTTAGGTCTCCTGATTATAGACTTTTGAATTTGTTTAATTAACCCAAATGCTCCCTTTGGGCTAATCATAAATTCATTGCTTTTGTTAAATTCCATATGGTGTCTACTAGCATCTTAATGCAAAGCATTACTGCAATGCCTTTAAGTTGGCATTTTAAAATTAATATGAATTTTTATTCACTCCTGAGGTTAATATTTATGGATTAATCTTCTAAATACAGGTTTTAAAAAGGCAAAAAGTTAGCAACATGAATTAAAAGTCTCTGTACATGAAATAAAAGATCTGATTCAGAATATATAAAATATGAAGGGACCAAAAATAGCTTTGAAGTCTTGATTAAAATACCAACCGTACCTGTTCTCCTAATTCATAACAACTGACCTAAACGAAATATTAGAGAGAGAGAGAGAGGGAGGGAGGGAGGATGCTTGAACTGGCCAATCGTACTTTAAAATATATGTATCAGCTATGGGTCGCATGCTACTTCCCTGTTTTTATATCTTATTTACCATGTCTTCAAGAAACTTAAAAAGGGTGCAGTCTAGATGTTATATGTAAAGCTGACATGTTGGGGAAAATGCATTTTGATTAGCTATAACTAGCATAAGTCCAATTCATTTCATAATAAACCTGGATTTATCCCTTTGTCTAAAATGTAAAGATCAATTTACTGAAACATTTGCATATTTCACATCTATGTAATAAAATGTCAGACAAGGCATACATAAGTGTTTATAGTTATATATATAATGGCTGTATAGCTGGAAATTAACTACACAGGGTAAATAATTGATCATAACAGACAGATATGCTAGAAGGGTTAAACCAACCATGCCAATTTACTTTGTATGTGATGGGCTGATAAGTATATTCCACTAAACACTGGATTCAAATGCCAAATATGTTTCAAATCAGGACCAACCTTCTTTCCATTATGCAGAGTGAAGTTCAACCATTTTGGGTTCAAGGAAGTTCTACAAAGTTGTTACTTTTAAATTCAGTAATTTTATTTAATATTTTAAAAGACAGATTGAATAGAGCGATACCAGAAACATGGATATTGCTTTAATAGGACAATTTATTAATTTTGCCTGTTTATTCTCTAGGAGAGGCAGTTAAGGAATTTTACCTAAGGAAGTGAGACTATAAATTGGGTTGAACAAGGACCAGTGTGGTTTAGAGAACAAAACAGGGAAGAGCAGAACTGTCTTGAACACCATTTTCAGCTCATAGGAGCAAAAGAAAGAGATATGATTGTTCAATAGGTAGTAAATACTAGATAATAGATACAGTTCTACCTGTGACAAATTGCAGTTTGTTCAACTATCTTTTCAGTTTTAGGGCAATAAACACCAAGTTCAGTTGTACACTATAGGTCTATTTATTTCTGTAATATACGTAGTATGAACAGAACTTGTAACTTAGTATTTTAGCGCCAGTGCATTTTGAAGGGTTGTGGTGGTCTTGGTAAATAGGAATGCAAAAAGAAGTGTCTTAGCAAGGAAGTCATGTGTATGAGGCATTAGACTGAATCCTACTTATGTTCACAAGCATGGTTTTTTTAAAAAAATGATCAACATGTTTGAGATGAGATTTCAGATATTATTGACGGGTGATTCATTGTGTCCTGACTTCTCTGATCCACCTTGCTACATTTACTGGCAATGAGTTCGCACAAGCAGTCTCAGAGCACTTCCAGACAACACCAAACTGCGGATTTTCTATGGGGCAAAAAAACTAGGACCTGAGAGCAGACCTGTAGATGCCAGGATTTGTGCTTGTAACATTCGGACTTGCTGCTGTGTTCCAGGATTTAGAAGCCTGCAAGATGGCTACTGTGGGACGTCCACTGGAAATTCCGGTGGATTAAAAAATGTTAATGCACTGATGTAAATATGTGCATTGTTCATACAAGTTTTGTTCCCAGGATATATATTTCGGTTCCCCATTGGTTCCATCATAAAAACGTGGCAAAAGTTGATTACAGGGCAAAAACTTTGTCCTGGCAAGAGGGACATCATTGTCCACCCATTTATCAAAGTTTGGAACATACAAATAAAGTTTTTGCTGTGTAATCAACTTTCCCTATGTTTTTACAATAGAAGCAATGAGGAACCGATATTTATAACCTGGGAACAAACTAACATAAAAAGCCCTGCATTTTCTGAGTGCAGGGACACATAGAGATTTGAAAATCTGAATCTTCTGGCAGAAACAGGATATTCCTGCACCTCTTTATCTTGGTTTTTTGGCTTTGTAGCGATTGCTTCTGCGTTTTCAGTTGATATCATCTAGCCACCCTCTATTTTGAAGTGGGATCTCCTGAGATAAAGGTACTGTGTGGATGGGCCCTCAGACAGTTGGGGAAGTTACTGTTTTGGTCTATGTTTCCCAAGATTTCCCTGCCAGCATGACCTCTGGGGACTGCAGCAAATGGAGTCTAAAATGGGTCAACAAAAATTGGCCAGTTTGGAAAAACTCTGCTAATGGTCAACATCAAATACAACCCTTTTATAGCATCAGTGTATAATACAACCTCATAACTTGTACCCATGGTTTCATCTACCTGCATCCAATGAAATGTATCACCTCTAGGTATTTTCTGGGTCCTCCAAATAACTCTATGGTATTTACTATAGTGTTGCATTGGAGTACTTCATACATTTCTAGAGAGGATATCTCTCAGGAATTTTGTAGTTTCTCTAGAATGACTCTATGGAAACTTCTGATGGAAATTTAGCTGGATTCACAATTGTCTATAGATTCCACAGTAGGTAAACTCTGTGGATATGGGGGTCATGCTGTAATCTGGTCAACTCATGCTCTAATTTGAAATTCTGATACACTAAAGTTACTGAGCACCAGCATTGAGTCACATTGTGCAATAGCTAAACGATAAAATAAGCTGACCTACCCTTTGGAAATAATCCAGAAACTGCTGGAGGTTGAAGAGCAAGTGATGTGTGTGAAAGGTTTATGGCTGAGTGCAACTAAGAACTGAACATTGATTTTTGAAGAAAAAAACACAACACAGATTGTTCCACCCCTTCTATGCCTCTCAGTCTCACATTTACCCTCAAGTATTTTTAAAAGAAACATTATTTCTAGGGAATGTGTCTGGCATAGCCCTCCATTGGCAGTCCCATGACTATGGCATTCTCCTCTCTAACTCCAGTCTTTGTGGCAATTATCTGCGTCTTGATTGGAATAATAGTCAAAGGCAGAAGGACAAGCTCCAGGAATGAGCCAAGGCAAACAAGTAAGAAAGTGGAGTCTCGTCCATGGGTGGATGATGATTTAAAAGACAGCACTGACCTTCACCCTGAGGAAGAAGGTATGTAAAAAAGAGAAAAGGGTTTGGCATTTGTATGCCTGTGTTTTTCTAGTCTCGGGAGGAAATGAAAAACATGGCCTTTTCAAGCATGTTAGGGTGTTGTTGAGGAGTTGTAAGTAGCTGGAATCCATCTCTTGAAGTTGATAAGAAAATGAATAACAGTGATGGTGGGGAAGCATAGCATAAATACATTGCTTCAGCATAACATCAATGCGTGCTTGGCAGAGTTACATTATGTTGTCCCTGTACTGAATATGAACACAGCACAATGTATGTGGATGAATTGCGAAGTTTGTGTCTGTCAAAAGATGCTAAATGCAATAGAAAAAACAATGTATAGAGGCAAAACACTGATTGCATGTGTTTTACTGTGCAATGCTCCCACACGTACAACTCTACTATGCTGCTATGAGTTGGATGTGACTGTTGTGCATGTCCCCTTAAAAAAAATCACTCCACTAGTACAATTTACACTGATAGATGTTATTAACAATATCCTGGCTAGTGTGTTTTTGATTTTAAAATATACAGCTCACAGATTCCAAGAGAAAAAAAAATGGGGTTGGGAAACTTTTTTGTTTGGAAACCTCATGCTGGTTAGGGGATTCTGAGGCCCCTTCTGCACTGCCCAGGATCTGATCCCAGATTATCTGCTTTAAACTGGATTATATGATTCACCACTGCCAGATAATCTGGGATAAACTGATAAACTGGGATCCAGTCCTGGGATATAGGGGCAGTGTAGAAGGGGCCTGAGAATTGTCCTCAGTATAAGTAACTTTCCCAAGTTCTGGGAAGAATGAAATGGCAACGATAGCTTTCCTATCCATGGTGCCTCCTATATGGACATCTAGTACATCTAGGTGGTGAAGGGTTTGACTGGCAAAAGAAAGCATGCTGATGAAGGTTAAGCAGTGGTTCTTAACCTGTGTGTCCCCAGGTGTTTTGGCCTACAACTCCCAGAAATCCCAGCCAGTTTACCAGCTGTTAGGATTTCTGGGAAGTGAAGGCCAAAACATCTGGGCACCCACAAATTGAGAACTACTGGATTAAGGGGAAGGAAGGATGGAGAGCAGAATTATCACCAATGTAAATTTATATTCCGTATTGATATTGCAATCCCACAAATATCTATGAAAACAGAGGGTCTTCCACACAGCCATATAACCCATAATATCAAGGCAGATAATCCACTTTCTGCTTTGAACTGGAATATCTGAGTCCATACTGCACTGTAATCCTGTTCAATGTGGATTTTATGTAGCTGTGTGGAAGGGGCCAAAAGTAGCACAGAGTTTAGTGGGTAAATGAGAACAGCTGGCTCTTCATATCCACAGATTCTACATCCATGGGTCCCATCATCCACAGCTCAAAATATTTTAAAACTTTTGGTATCCTCAGGGAATCCTAGATCAGGAGGACCCACTGTATAGAACTGCATCTGAAACCATATTATACACAGTAGCTAGCATCTTGTTGCGGCACACATTAAAAAGGTATTTAGTACTGATCAGATGGATTCTGAATCAAGAATAACATTTTATGACCAGCTATAACTGGATTGGGTTTTTCCTACAACTGTTTTTTTTAAGCACAAAAGTTTATGCTTTCTGCTTTGAAAAATACCACTAAATCAGTCTAATATATCCTATGAGCATGGCAGATGGAAAATATGTCAGTTTCATACTCCATACAAGTATGCCACAGTAATGGACGTAAATAGATTCTAAACAGCAATAGTAATTATCCTTGTGTCCAGGACAAAAAGCAAACAAGCAGATTTTGAAATCTGGGAATGTGGCAATGCTAAATAAAACCTTCTTTCTTTTTCCAGTTCACTTCTCATCTACATTGCCACATAATCCAAAATATCAAGGCAGATAATTCACATTATCTGCTTTGAACTGCTTATATAGCAGTGTAGACTCATATAATCCAGTTCAAAGCAGATAATGTGGATTTTCTGATTTGATAATCTGGATTATATGGCAGTGTAGAAGGGGCTTCAGGTTTTTTTTTATTGAAACAATCCAAATCACAAATATGCTTTCAAAACATTTACCCTTAGATTAAAATAGCTTTTGGAAGGAGAATGTTTTAAAACAAGATAGTTACCTGAAATTTGTGAGAAACATGTGAAACTGTGCATAACAACAAATCCTAATAAAATCAAGGATTTACAGCCAGGATTGCTATAGAGCAGTGTTTCTCAACCTTCCTAATGCCGCGACCCCTTAATACAGTTCCTCATGTTGTGGTGATTCTCCCCAATAATAACATTATTTCTGTTGCTACTTCATAACTGTAATTTTGCTACTGTTATGAATCATAATGTAAATATCTGATATATATGATGTATTTTCATTCACTGGACCAAATTTGGCACAAATCCCTGATACACCCAAATTTGAATACTGGTGGGGTTGGGGGAGTGGCATTGATTTTCTCATTTGGGAGTTGTAGTTGCTGGGATGTATAGTTCACCTACAATCAAAGAGGATTCTGAACTCCACCAATGATGAAATTGAACCAAACTTGGCACACAGAACTCCCATGACCAACAGGAAATGCTGGAAGGGTTTGGTGGGCATTGACCTTGAGTTTTGGAGTTATAGTTCACCTAAATCCAAAGAGCACTGCAGACTCAAACAATGATGGGTCTAGGCCAAACTTGGCAGAAATACTCAATATGTCCAAATGTGAACACTGGTTGAGTTTGGGGAAAACAGACCTTGACATTTGGAAGTTGTAGTTGCTGGAATTTATAGTTCACCTACAATCAAATGATAGAATTGGGCCAAACTTACCACATGAACCCCCATGACCAACAGAAAATACTGTGTTTTCTGATAGTCTTTGGCAACCCTTATGACACCCCCTCGTGAACCCCCCCCCCCCCCAGGAGTCCCAATCTACAGGTTGAGAAACTCTGCTATAGAATGATGCTGGAGGACCAAGAAATGCCTAAAGATTTTACATTTTGTTGGAAATGGATGAATGAAATGGAGGGTAGTAGTCTGGTAGATAGAGGGGTTATATTGTATCTCTAGTTATATGTGCTGTCTACTGAATAGAATAACCTAAGAAGATTTTTGTGGCTCTATAGCTATTCCTACTTTGCTACTTATTATGAAAATATAAATTTAGTTTTGTGCCTCACTCATTTAAAGTCCTGGATCTCTGCCCAGTCACACACCTGTTAATCTCTAAGGTAATAAAAATGGTTAAACTAATGCTGCTGTGAGAATATGCTCTTTTATGCATATGACTGCAGTTTGTGGACATTAAAATAATGCAGAGCGATATCTTATATGCAGTAAAACTGTGCAACATAAGGTGAATGCATAAAACCAGCATGCTCAGGACAGGCCCTGGTGCTTTTCCTTGCTCTTGACAGCTACCTGCTTATGGAGGACAGATTGTCTGATCTTTTTGCTACAGTGGTATCACTGAAGGCATGCAGGAGGTGCAAACCACACTGGATGATACCATGTGAGAGCATGACAGCAAGATGACTGTCTGTAAAAAAAATTGTTTAGTACTTCAGCACAAATGTATTTCTTTTTAATAAAGTAGTTGCTTATTTTGTCAAAAATTGTATTGTCCTACAATCTGGTATGGGAGAAGGTCTGTATGGGGTAATGTCATGGGTTATTGCATTGGATGACACCAATCCCAGTGATGTCACTGGTTTCCTGTAAGGCCTTTTCTCAAGACAGTGTGATTTTCAAGTGCTGGAATCCTGTTGGCTTTCTCCCAACTACAATAAACCTACTGAATCAGTTGCTGAATAGTGTGTCTTTACATTGGTAAATGTTATTGATATGATGGTTCTACTGTCAGAAGACAATAGGATTTAAAATAGAACAAAATATATATTTAAAAATCTTACAGGAGAAGAAAAGTGGGTTTGGTTGTTTTTTTTTTTCCGTGTCAGGAGCGATGTGAAAAACTACAGTCTGCAAAGTTGTTTGCCCAGAGGACGCCCGTCCTGTGGGAGGCTTCTTCATGTCCCCACATGAGAAGCTGGAGCTGACAGATGGGAGCTCACCCCACTCCAATTCAAACCTCCGACCTTTCAGTCAGCACTCCTGCTGGCACAAAGGTTTAACCCATTGCACCATGTAATGATTCTTACCTCGTAGGCCGAAGGAGAAGCCTGGAATATCAGTAAGCAGGCCTCCATTTTGGGAGTGTCAGCAAAGGAAGCAGACATCTTGGTAGTGTAAAAGGAGAAGAGGGGAGAAGCTGTAGCTCTCTTTTGATTGGCTAGGACAGATGGGAGGAGTTTAGGACTGAGAGGGAAAAGTGTGAGCTTGACAGAGAGCAGGGAAATTGATTTTTGGGTTTGAAGAAGAAGGAGTGATGTTGGGAACAGAGGAGAAGAGAGGTAGATTTTTGAGCTTAGATTTTTCTGTCAGAGAACATTTGTGACAGGCAAGGCTGCATTATTTGGCCAGGAGGGTCAAAGTAGTCGCCTGGGTGCTTGTGTGGGTTTTTACACAAGTGATTTGCTCTCTGGGTTAGAGTAGATTAGCTTTTAGAGAACTCTGCTTAGAGTGTAGCTAATTGCTCTAGGGACAACCTGGTTAGGTTAGTCTGGGGAACTCACTGCTACTGCGTTATTGTAGAGTGAGGAGTTTTACTCGTATCTAAGTCAAAGAACCTGTTTAAAGTAACCATAAAGATTATTGTACCTCAGTAACCATTTAAGCTTGTGTGACTCATTAAAGAAGATAGTTGTTTGTTCAATATTATAAATAAACATTTTCTCTAGTTCAACTTTTAAAGAAGCCTCAGTAGTGATTCATTCCTGTGGGAATAGTTCTATCTGTTTTAACATCTTTACATCACAGTCATCTCAAGGAGCTAAGGGAGAGCTGGTGGACAGGAAAAAGTTTACCTCAGGGGAATCATCTGTAATTTCCTAAAGTTAATTTAGGTCGTGGCAGCGAATTTACCAAAGTACATACACGTTACCTCATGTACATATAAATGCT